GCTCTGGAAAATAAGGTAAACAGCTGCTAAAAAGGTATTGTAAGTTGTATTCTAAAGAATATAGAACGTGCGCCGAACATTCCTGCGCCGAAAAATTCCGCGCCGAACAATCCTGCGCCGAAATCGGAACGTCTTGCGCCGAAACGGTCGCGCCAAAAAGTTCCGACACCGTCCATTTCACGGCATCGTTTGAACAAACTAGTGCCAAATCAATTGGGTGCAGTTTCCCTGTGAAACGATTTCGATACACGTGCGATTGGACAAGTATGCAGTTGCGAAGACCCACATTAAAGGGTCATCAATCTCGAATGACAAGATCTGATGAAAGGTACCCCCGCAACGGTGAGGGAGCTAAAAATTGAAGCAATCGTGGGTCCGAGCGCGTTCTTGGCTCCCGTCGCTAGCACATAACTCGGATTTAATTGCCCTCCGCCGAAAGGTAAACAGACCAATTAATTAGATTTAGCCTTCAATTCATAATTAAACACCACTTAACGCATCTCGGACGTGTCAAGAGGCATAGTTTCCGCCTGTAAACGGATGAGCAGTCGCTATAGTTATTCGTCGCCTTCTTTGATTTTATTGCTTCGAAATTCTGCCAGGTAGGACCGCATCTATTTTCGATAGATTTGCATTTTGGGCCGACAAAAGGAATATGAATAGCTACCAAGGACTTCAGCGGACCGATTATTGAAATCGATAGACAAAACTATAGGTACACAACACAATGAAAGCGGGTGGTTTCAATGGACAATGGAGGTATGTATTAATAAACTAACTAACGGCAACCTATAAGAACCCCTATAGTTAGTCCACACGGGGAAAAAATGGATTCCTAATTTAACAATTAAATTGTCAAAAATATACCTATCTGACGCAATTCAAATGTACCTACACTTTATCATTTTACAAAGGGTAAAGAGCTAATTTAAACACGGGAATGCTTAAATTAGCAATTATTATTGTACAATCATACATTGAAATGTGTCTGATACATTTCAAATACAAAATTGTTAAATCAGCAATATCATTTTTTCCGGACATCGTTAGTCTACCGGAACCACCCATTTTAACCAATAGGATTGCTCCGTACTCCCCATGTCTTCTCTGTCTATCGCTTTGTTAACATTTTTAATAATCAGCCCGCAGCAGCTTGATCATTTACTTCACTAAATACGAGCTATGGATAAGCGTGACCATCTAACGGTGATCTATCGCTCGATGAGGTCCTACCACTCCTATCGAGGGGCTTGCCAGAAGCAAAAGCGCATTTTCTCTAGTATGTACCAATTATTTCAATGGGCGGACCTCTTCTAGCGCATTTCACGAACTAAGCTATCCGTTTTTGAAATTATTCTCAGATACATTATACTCTCTCAATAAAATCCCAATAAATTTATTTATCATCATTAGCTTGTTCGTTTCGTCCTATCAAGTTAGTGGCTGATTATTTTTCAGGTACAAAAAATTGAACGGGATGACTAATTATGCAAATCACCTCACTGCAGGTAAATATTTTTGCACCATGACCATAACTGGCATTTTCAGAATAAGGGAGTTACGTGTGTCTATGGTTGGCTGCCACCTTTTTCGTTTGGACGCCTTTCACTGTTGTCGAGTTTAGACTTTGTCCGGAGGTGGCTACCGCCACCCATGATACGCACTTCAAGTTAAATACATACCCAATGCACCTCTTCAGGACCGAATCAGTGTTCACAAATCTAAAGCCCAGGGGTGTAAGAGATAAGCGATTTAAGTATTTAGTCTTTTGCAAAATTCATCGCGAAACATGGTGCCGCTGGCTTCCTCTGAAACGAACTCCCAAGCTCAGAAAAAGCTTTTAAATTTGAGGCCAGGGTGGTCCATGTTATAGCGAGAGGTCACCCACATATACCCAGTCAAACTCTTTGTGCACAGATAGGGATCAAATAAGGGCCTTATGTAAGAACAGCGGATGTCGCGTTTTTAAGTTTCGAGATAATCGCGTTTAAAGTTTTCTAAGCTGTGCGGTGCAATGTGTGTGCAACACAAATAGGGTTTGAGCAAGGAATTCAACATAGAACAAATCCTCCTCTAAAAAGTGAGCTTCAGGACTTCAAATTTGAAGCAAATGTAAACGAGATACTTACAGTGATTTCAAAAAAAGGCCACGTCCACTGTTTTGATGGAGAATTTTTTCTTAGGCATAAAATGAACTACCTAGCGAATGTAAGAGATGTAGAGAGATCGATATTGATCAATTTATAATTACTGCTGAGCTTTTCAATAATTTTTGGGAAAAAATAAATATTTGATAACTTCCAAAACAAATATAAGGAACAAGTTAAGCATATTTTCAATATTTTACAGTAGGGTAAAAATTAAAAAGCTCCCAAAGACCTAAATACTATACGTCTATAACTTTCATTAAGCGCGGTATCCATATACCGTGCTTTTTGCACGGGTTGCCTAACTCTACGACTGATATATAATGAATGCTCCGTTGAATCTTGGGTAATTTCAAAGCCGTCCCCGTAGCGGGAAACATATTGAAAGCAAGCTTTTTATTCAAAACAAATTTTAAGTGTTACTGCATTTTCTTCCAATTTTTTCTGGAAAAAACATTTAAAATGTGTAAATAAATCAAGTTCCAATGAGTAGATCGCGAGTTACGAGTAAGTCTTTCTTTCTTTTTTTAAAATTAATCCTTAATTATGTTTTATTGTTTTTTGTATTTTTTTTAAAAAAAAGAAGAAGAAGAAATGAATAAAATTATGATTTTAATAAAACGAATCTTTCACTTTCAAACCTCAAAATTTTTGATGTCATTTTGAAGTCAAGTTCGTCTTCCTCCTTTAAATCGTTCGTTAAACTCCGATTATTCTTGATCATGCCGCGCATGTCCAGCACCAACACCGAAAAAAAAGATGCTGTGGTAACATCCCGTATGTTACGGTTGTTAAAAAAATGTGTGACAACTTTTGGATGTTTCTACACTCTGACAGTTAACGTAGCATAATAGCATGTAAAAGTTACATCCTAGGATGTTACTTTCACAGCCAGAGTTGTAATGACAACATCCAAGAGTTGTCGCACATTTTTTAACATCCAGGATGTTAATACAGCACCTCTTTTTTTAAGTGTTGGACTTTTCTGCTTGTTATTATTGTAATGTGCTCATACAGGGTGTAACAAAAGTCCGTCCCACTCCTGCCAACTTTTGAACGAATTGAGCTAGGAAAATGAAACTTTTGGAATGTTCCTATCTCAAAGGGGACCATCTTTTTGGAGTGTCAAAATTTTGGTCCCCCCTCAGGGGGGACGGCCCCAACTTTTTTTTCAAATAGCAACCCCTATCTTGTGATACCTCATTCGAAAGAGCATAAGAAACTAAGAATTTTGGCGCAAAACGCATATCAATATCTTACTTTTTGACCGAGTTATGATAGGTCAAAGGTCAAATTTGACCTATTTTCAAAAAATCATAACTCCAGTTCAAATTATCGGAAAGGAAAAAACAAAACGGAAAAATTTACCAAATTGTGTCCGCTTTTAAGTAAAAATTACAGAAATCACTTCGAACTAATTTTAAGGGGGGGGGGGTTGGATCTCCGAATACGTCAATCCAAAGGCCATTCCATTTTCTCGCGAAATAAGCCAATTTCCCCTAGATTTGCTTCCACATTAGTTCAGTAAGGTCAAAATCAGTTCAACATTACGTTGGCAAGTCCCCAAATTTCGGGAAAAGTTAAAAAAAAAAAAAATTTGAACGGTCAAATTTAATCACCTTAAATTTCGTTTTTCTTAAAACTTTTCCCGAGACTTGTCAACGTAATGTCGAAATGATTCTGACCTTACCGAGATAATGCGGAGGCAAATCTAGGGGAAATTGGCTTATTTCGCGAGAAAATGGAATGGCCTTTGAATTGACGTATTGGGGGGTCCAAACCCCCCCCCTTAAAATTAGTTCGAAGTGATTTCTGTAATTTTTACTTAAAAGCGGACACAATTTGGTAAATTTTTCCGTTTTGTTTTTTCCTTTCCGATAATTTGAACCGGAATTATGATTTTTTGAAAAAAGGTCAAATTTGACCTTTGACCTATCACAACTCGTTCAAAAAATAAGATATTGATATGCGGTCTGCGCCAAAATTCTTAGTTTTTTATGCTCTTTCGAATGAGGTATTACAAGATAGGGGTTGCTATTTGAAAAACAAGTTGGGGGCCTCCGTCCCCCCTGAGGGGGGGGGGCAAAATTTTGACACCCCAAAAAGATGGTCCCCTTTGAGATAGGAACATTCCCAAAGTTTCATTTTCCTAGCTCAGTTCGTTCAAAAGTTAGCAGGGGTGGGACGGACTTTTGTTACACCCTGTATACGATCCTTAAGGTGAATCGTCAAACTCAAGTGACGTGATTGTACTGGCATGCGATATATTGCATAGATTAGGTGAAAAATCTCGGCAAATTTTGAATTTTTAACAAAAAAAAAAGGACCGTAGCCCCTGCACATACTTAAGCCTAAAAAATCATTCTAAACCCTAAAGTCGGCAAAATTCAAAGAAATGAAAGCAGGATAGTGGTAGGAAAAAAAACCTTGCATTCGATTCAACTATCGATTTCTGTATTGAATGCGAGGTTTTTTCCTGACATTATTTTGCTTTTATTTCTCTGAATTTGGCTGACTTCTGGGTGTAGAATGATTCCATAGGCTTATGCGCAGGGGCTCTCGTCCTTTTTTTTTTTTTTTTTGCTAAAAATACACGAGTTATGTGACTGCCGACCTATACCGTCGAAATGTTTCTTTGTCTTTCTTGCGGATATACCTGGCATACTACAACGCAATGTAGTTCTTAAGAAAATTCTTAAAATCCTGAAATGATAATTGACTGATCGGTCTACATAGTGCTGAGGATAAGAACCACCAATCGCAAATCCCTATGGTGTGCAAGAGCTCCATTTGGGTGATTTCCGAAAGGTATCGGAGTTGTACTGACATGCGTGTTGCGTTTCTTTGTTTTAGGGGCGAGTCTGAGCGAGGAGGAGGGGGGCCAATCCACGCTTGGCGCAGGCGGAGGAGGCGGTGGCGGGAGCAAGACAAGGCGGCGACGCACCGCCTTCACCAGCGAGCAACTCCTCGAACTCGAGAGGGAATTCCACGCCAAGAAATACTTAAGCCTCACCGAGAGATCTCAGATCGCTAGCTCCCTCAAACTCAGCGAAGTTCAAGTAAGTCGCCCGCGAATCCTATTTATTCCTGTTGGGAAATTTTATTAAACTAATTTCAGATAGGAAACGTTTTCTCCTCCTCCACTTTTTGGGACTTGCCCAGTGGCTGAGGCAAACACCAGGGGAGACCTTCCGCTGACCCCTTGGCGACAGGTGACTTATACCTCCAACAAAGAGAAAAAGAGCAGCAAGTTGAATTGCGGGCCGAGTGGCACCCCTTTGTACGCGTCATCTCTGATTGGCTGATCTGCCTGCCCTAGTAGCACAATTAGTGTTTAAAATGTTTCAAAAATGTGTCACTGAAATCAAAAAACATTGTCAACACATTTCATCGAAACATTTTGAACACGTTCAAAATGTTTTCATTCAGTTTTTAACACGTTTCAGACACTTCTCTATGTCACCCCAAATTTTTGTCAAACTGACACCCTATGCAGATGTTTCTGATACCTATTGAGGATGTAGCAAAGTTTCACTGATACGTTTCAGGAACATTTCTGAAACATATTTTTGAAAGGAAAGGTGATTGATGCTCTCACAAAATTGTTTCAGAAACGTTTCCAAAACATTTCGATGGTTTTCAAAATATTTCTTACGTTTCATCGAAACATATTAAACACGTTCAGAATGTGTTCATTCAGTTTTTAACACGTTTCGGACACTTCTCTATGTCACCCCAAATTCTTGTGTCGCCTACACCGTGGGAAGATGTTTCTGAAACCTATTGAGGATGTTTCAAAGTTTCACTGAATCGTTTCAGCAACATTTCTGTAACATGTGTTTGAGAAAATTAGGTTCTGACTGTTCACTATGAAATGTTTTGGAAATGTTTTTCAGAAATTTGTTTCTTCGGGGGTTAACTAGAGGTTAAGTATCAAAAATTTTCAGACATTTGTTTTAATAACTATTGTCGCTGTGGAATTAGCACCATCACAACAGGAATCCCTTGATACCAACCATGCCTGAAGGCTGAATCGTTACACTTCATCATTATCAACCTATCAGAGGGATTAGAACACCTTCACTTTAGAAAAGTATACGTAAAGCACGATGTACGGATTCAATATTCTAGATAATCCATAACTTATGAGCTTTTATGGAGATGAACTCGATTCATACAAGGAATTAAACGTGTTTATAACCTTCACATAATTAAATGTCCAAAAAGTATAGCTTGAGACGAAAAATTAAGCTGAAATTTGGTAAAATTGAGAAACTAAACGTTAACGCCCTCTGATGGATTCAGTTTGAACCAGGAAAAGTTTTAGAAAGGTCCTAGAAATGTTTCTATGTTAATCAATGAAACATTTCTAAAACGTGTCAAAAACATTTTTAAGTGACGTATAAATTCAAACAAAATATTCAAAAAGGTTTTAGAGACATTTTGAAAATGTTTTGAAAAGGATTTGTTGAAACATTTTCAAAATGTGTTCCAAATATTTCAACTAAAACCACCCATTTCAGATGACATTTATAATTTGTTTTGGAAACGTTTTAACAAAGATTAATGAGATGAAGAAGAAATGTTTGGAAAATAATTTTGACTCAGTTCAACGCAACAAAGATCAAACTAGGTCAACATGTTTTAAATTTGTTTCAAAAATGTTTCAGATGAAATGGTATTTTTCTAAATTCATACGAAATATTTCTGGTATGTTGAAGAAATATTTCTGAAAAATCGCTTAAATTTTTTTTAAATTTGTTTTCAAAACAATTCAAAATGTTGGTAATCACGCATCAAAAAACTGAAAGTAAAACATTTCAAATTTATTTCCAATATATATTTTTAGGTACAAAATTTGGACGTAGGTTTCGGGATAAAGTTTCCAAGATAGTTCTGAAACATTTCTATTTTTATTCATTTTTACAGCCGCAATTTATTTCAAATTTCTTTCTAATATATTTTGATTTTAATTTTTTTAATTTTAAAAAAAACGTTTTTAAAACGGTTTAAATTTGTATCAATGAAACCTCTGCAAAGCTTCGTGTCAATTATATATTTCAAGAATATTTCTGAAACGTTTCAGTGAGATGACACAAGTTAGACACCTATGAGATATTTCTAAAATATTAGTGAAACGGGTTGTGCTACTAGGGTGGTGCCCACTTTCTGGGGCCCTCGTGGAAAATAACACGGGGTTCATTTTTCATCCAAAATATTTTAAAAACGAGGAGAAAATCATACGCCGGAGATTTCAGGAGTCAATTTTCCAGATTTTTCTGAGGCGGTTGATGGGTAATGCATGCTATCCTTTTTTTTTCAAACACATCGAACAGCTCGATCTGGAAATATGACACTTTGTGTCATGAAAAAACAAAATTCCAGGTCGAACTGTTCGGTGTTTTTGAGAAAAAGTGACGTGTATTACTTATTAATTTCTTCAGGAAAATCTGCAGAATTAATTTCTGAAATCTCCGACGCATACTTTTTTCCTAACTCGAGATATATTCGATGAAAAATGAACCCCGTGTTATTTTCCAAAGTGGACACCGGGCGAATCAGTCAGTTGGAGAAGATTCGTCAAAGTAGGGGTGCCCCTCGGCCCGCAATCAATATTGCGACTCTAGTTTCCTCTTGGGAGCCATGCCGAAGATAGCACGCGGCGTTCTCAGTGCGTTCATGTGTTCGCCTTCAATGTGCACAGGTAGGCAATTTCTCGACTGCGGAGTACGTTGATTTGTATCCTGTTTCGCAGGGCATTTTACATCATTTTCAGTATCCTTGATCTTCCTCATCGCGGCGCGGCCCGCGCCTTGCCAATCATCCTGGCTCTCCGACTTTTATGCTCGACTCTATCACCTCTTATAAAACGACAAACTAACAAGGGGAGGCTACCGATTGTCCCCCTCAGATCGGGTTCAAATTTGGCAGAGAGGTAGAATAGGTTAATATAAGAAACCGTATTTTGTTTTAGGTGTCAATACCCAGCCGTTTTTGAGTTGTAAATTTTTGAAGTTGCCGTTTTTTCGTGTCAGCGACGCGCTCAAGTTGAGCCTACTGTGCGCGCACCTTTTAATGCGATTCGAGATTCCGTAACAGCATATGTGACCGTTGGCTAAGCGGTAGCGCATTCGCTCACGGCGCCGCGGGTGAGGGGTTCGACTCTTAGTTCGAATAGTTAATTTTTGCAATTAATTATTTTGTTTTTTAATCGCTTCACACAACAAATTATAAATCACCTTGTAAACGTTATGATTCTAATTATTTTTATGTTTTTTTTATTATTTTTTTGTATTATTTTTTGACAAAAAAGGAAAAAAATATTATTAGCATCATAGCGTTTACAAGGTGACTTACAATTTGCTGTGATGAAGCGATTAAAAAACAAAATAATCAATTGTAAAAATTAAGCACCCAGACCAAGAATCGAATCCCGCACCCGCGGCGCCGTAGGCAAGTGCGCTACTGCTTGGCCAACGGACACACTTGACTATGTAGAATCTCGGATCGCATTACAAGGTGCGCGCACAGTAGACTCAACTTGAGCGCGTCGCTGACACGGCAACTTCAAAAATTCCTTACTCAAAAACGGCTGAGCATTGGCACCTAAAAAAAATACGGTTTCTTATATTAACCTATTCCACCTCCCTGCCAAATTTGAACCCGATCTGAGGGGGCAATCGGTAGCCTCCCCTTGTGAGACTTAAAATGCTGTTTTTGGAGATTCCATAGCACATGTCACTGGACTATGACCGAATTAAAGCCACCTGTTACATGTATTCTAAAAAGAATTGCACGCGAAACACTTAGTAAGTATACGCGCGACGATAACAACTAAAATTAACTTCTAACCATAATATTTTCGTTTTTCGATGCATAATCAGGGGCGAAAAATGAGCAGGCAGATTTTTGTTATAAACTTTAATAGTTTCAGAAAATTTTGCAACCAAAGAATAGAGTTAAGTTTCTTTATCTGAGCGGCGCCAAAATTAGCGGCCATTAGTGGTTAGCCATCCTTACTCGACAGTATTTTGACTCGTCAGATAATCATGTTGTTCTCCTTTCACCGGAAATAATTAAGAGCATAAAATGTGTAACATCATGTAAGAACCAAGCTGATTACAAATGATTGTTACAGGTGAGCCCAAATGAATTCTCCAGGTCAAAGTGGGGCATTAAACTTCCCTCTGGAAAAAAAAAAAAAAAAAAAAAAAAAAAAAAAAACTTATATTGGTGGTCTAGCTTGTAATGGGTACGTAATAAACAATCGTCTCCAAAGGGTGTGAGGCAAAATTGACCCCATCAGAAACGTTTTCGTTCCAGGGTAGCGTAACAAAAGAGTGCGCTCCTCCTATGCAAATATTATCTAACAGTTTCTTCGAACGAAACGGAACGAATGTAGTAACGAGTAGAGTGTACATAGTTGCCAGAATCATGGTGGTAATCATGCGTTCAGATGTGCAGAATTGATTTGGGGGACCTCTAGTGTATAATTACTACGAGATGGTTAAGCGTGGAGCATTATTAGAAGGTAGATATGAACCACCCATCACTTAGTTGTTCTATACCTTAACTTCTTAAAAGCGTTTCAAATTCTGCGGGGACGCTGAGAAAACGCCGATTTTTTGTGTAATTGTGAGAAGAAAAAGTATTATAATTGCAAAAGGCTTAAGAGTCAGGTAGAACTTTTATTTAGAGGATCAAAGAACCTTCAGAGCTAGTGTGGCTATCCGAAAGGAGAGGTATTGATAGATACCAAAATCGGCCTCATTCTAAAGTTGGAAGATTTTACGATCTTTGGCGGTTGATGGTGAATATTCTTCGGGAAAGAATGTGGGTTTCAGCGATTCAAACGCATATCGACCTCGAAACAGAGGCTCAAAATTGAGTTGAAAGAACGATACATATGAAATTGGATACACGGAAAAAAATAGGGTAGTCGACACAACCAACGGCTAGTTAAAAATGCGCCAGCTACCGTGCAGTAGTTACGATAACTACCGCGGTGGAGGTCACAACTAACCCGGTAGTTACATCAACATCGGTTGTTGATGTAGCT